TTTTTTTTTTTTTTTTAAGAAAAAGCATTACTTCTGTACTTCCATACTATTTGGTCACATTTCTCCTATGTTCTTCTTTATGTCCTTGTAGTTGCTACCTACTATTTATATGACTTTGGGCAATTCATCGAAATTCTCCAGGTCCTGATTTTTTTTTCATATTTGGGTATGCTCAAGCATGCAGCGAAGGGCCAAGTGCTTGACTGACATTGAAAAAATCAGGCAAGCTGAGGCTTGTGCTTAGTGTAGTAGGCTAAGCCTCCACCTGCAGTGCCGGCATCCCATAGAGGCACTGGCTCATGTCCCAGGTACTCGTCTTCTGATCCAGCTCTCTCTCTTATGGCCTGGGAAAGCAGCAGAAGATGGCCCAAGTGCTTGGGCTCCTGCGCCCACGTGGGAGACCTGAAAGAAGCTCCTGGCTCCTGGCTTCAGATCAGCTCAGCTCTGGCCATTGTGGCTATTTAGGAAATGAACCAGTAGAAGGAAGACCTTTCTGTATCTCATCCTCTGTCTGTAGCTCTACCTCTCAAATAAATAAATAAGATCTTTTAAAAAAAATTTGGTAGCACTGGGGGTCAGTGCTATAGTGCAGCAGGCTAAGCACCCACTTGGAACACCTACACCCTGTATCAGAGCACTGGCTCAAATTGCAGCTGCTCTGATTCCCATCTCAAGAACTTGGGAAGGCAGTAGAAGTTAGCCCAAATACTTGGGTCCCTGCCACCCATGTAGGAGGCCAGGATGGAGTTCCTGGCTGCTAGCTTTGACCTCGCCCAGCCCTGGCTATTGCAGCTATCTGGGGAGTGAACCAGCAGATGGCATCCCTCTCTCTCTCCCCCTTTCGCTGATGTTCTGTGTTGCAAATAAATACATATATAAATCTTTGTAAAAAAAAATAATTCTGGTAGATTTTGAATTTGAATCCTACTCACCCAACAAGAAAACACAAAAGAGTGTTTTAAAAATAAGTAATGTTGGGGCCAGCGCTCTGGCCCAGCAGGTTAAAGCCCTGGCCTGAAGCGCCTGCATCCCATATGGGTGTTGGTTCTAGTCCCAGCTGCTCCTCTTCCGAACCAGCTCTCTGCTATGACCTGGGAAAGCAATAGAAGATGGCCCAAGTCCTTGGGCCCCTGCACCCACTTGGGAGACCCAGAAGAAGCTTCTGGCTCCTGGCTTCGGAACTGCTCACCTGTGGCCATTGCGGCCGGTTGAGGAGTGAACCAGCGGATGGAAGATATCTCTCTCTCTCTCTCTCTCTCTTTCTCTCTCTCTGCCTCTCCTCTCTCTGTGTAACTCTGACTTGCAAATAAATAAATAAATCTTTAAAAAAAAGATTGCATTTGACTGGAAACTATATATTTAATAGGGAAAAGCTGGGAGCATTTCAACAGAGATCTGGAGCCAGACACTCTCACCACTTTCACTGTTTTTTCTGGAAGTTTTAGCTAGAGCAATCAGGCAAAAAAAAAAAAAAAAAAAAAGAAATCAAGGGTATGCAAATTGGAAAGGAGGAAGTCAAACTATCCCTGTTTGCAGATGACATGATTCTGTATATAGGGGAATCCAAAGACTCCACCAAGAGACTATTAGACCTGATGAGAGAACTCAGCAAAGTTGCAGGATACAAAATCAAAACAAAAAAAGTTAATAGCTTTCTTACACACCAACAATGATCTGGCTGGGAAGGAACTTATAAAAACAATCCCATTCATAATGACTAAGTAATAATTTAAGTTCCTTAGGATAAATTTAACGAAGGATGTGAAAAATTTCTACAATGAAAATAAAAACCTTAATGAAACAAATAGAAGACAGAAAAAATGAAAAACTACTCAATGTTCACAGAGTGAAAGAATTAATATTGTCAAAATGTTTGTAGAGCCCAAATAAATGTATAGATTCAATGCAGTACCCAACAAAATTCTAAGGACATTCTTCACAGAACTAGAAAAAAAAATTCAAAAACTCCCATGGATATGCAGAAGACTCCAAATAGCCAACACAATCTTCAACAATAAAAACAAAGCTGGAAGCATCACAATACCAGATTTTAAGGAACATTACAGAAATATTACAAACCAAAATAACATGGCACTGGCATAAAAATAGACTTGTAGACCAATGGACAGAATAAAAACTCCAGAAATAAATTCACACATCTACAACCAACTAATCTTTGACAAACATGCTAAAAAAAAATTCCATGGAGAAAGGACAGTCTTTTCAACAAATGATGCTGGGAAAATTGGATTTTCACACACTTAAGTCTGAAGCAGGCTATCTTACATCCTGTATAAAAATTGGAAAACATTATGCTGAGTGAAATAAGCCAGTACCAAAGGGACAAATATCATATGTGCTCCCTGATTGGTGACAACTAACCAAGCACCAAAAAGGAAACCTGTTAAAGTGAAATGAACACTATGAGAAACGGTGACTTGATCAGCCCTTGCCCTGACTGTTGATGAACAACTTAATACATTATCCCTCTTAGTATTTTTTTCTTTGTTCTACTTAATACTTTTGGTTGAATACTGTAATCAATACATGGTTATTCTTTAGTGTTGAAACTTAACTGAAAATTGATCGCTGTTAAATATAAGAGTGGGAATAAGAGAGGGAAGAGATGTGCAATTTGGGACATGCTCAAGCTGACTTGCCCCAAACGGTAGAGTTAGAAAGATACCAGGGGATTCCAATTCAACCCCATCCAGGTGGCATGTACCAATGCCATCTCACTAGTCCAAGTGATCAATTTCTGTTCACAATTGATCATAATGATAGAACTAAGAGCCAAAGGGAGCACATAAACAAGACTAGTGTCTGCAAATACTAACTGATAGAATAAAAAAGGGAGAGAACGATCCAACATGGGAAGCGAGATACACAGCAGACTCATAGAATGGCAGATGTCCTAAACAGCACTCTGGCCTCAGAATCAGCCCTTAAGGCATGCGGATCTGGCTGAAAAGCCCATGAGAGTATTTCAGGCACGGAAAGCCAAGACACTCTGGCAAAAAAAAAAAAAAAAAATGACCTAAATGAAGGATCTCCGCGAATGAGATCCCAGTGGAAAGAATGGGCCATCAAAGAAGGAGGTACCTTTCTCTGAAGGGAGGAGAGAACTTCCACTTTGACTGTGACCTTGTCTAAATAAGATCAGAGTCGGCAAACTCAAAAGGCTTCCATAGCCTTGGCAACTCATGACAAGAGCCTAGGGTGATTACTGATGCCATAAACAAGAATGTCAATTTGTTAAGTCAACAACAGGAGTCACTGTGCACTTACTCCTCATGTAGGATCTCTGTCCTTAATGTGCTGTACATTGTGATTTAATGCTATAACCAGCACTCAAACAGTATTTTTCACTTTGTGTTTCTATGTGGGTGCAAACTGTTGAAATCTTTACATAATGTATGCTAAACTGATCTTCTGTATATAAAGAGAATTGAAAATGAATCTTGATGTGAATGGAAGGGGAGAGGGAGCGGGAAAGGGGAGGGTTGCGGGTGGGAGGGAAGTTATAGGGAGGGGGGAAGCCATTGTAATCCATAAGCTGTACTTTGGAAATTTATATTCATTAAATAAAAGTTAAAAAAAATCAACTCAAAATGGATCAAGGAGGGGCCAGCATCCCATATGGGTACTGGTTCGAATCCTGGCTGCTCTACTTCTGATCCAGCTCTCTGCTATGGCCTGGGAAAGTAGCAGAAGATGGTCCAAGTGCTTGGGCCCCTGCACCCATGTGGGAGACCTAGATGAAGCTCCTGGCTCCTGGCTTCTGATTGGCCCAGCTCCAGCCACTGCGGCCATTTATGCAGTGAACCAGTGGATAGAAGACCTTTCTCTCCACCTCTACTTCTCTCTGTCTGTAACTCTCTTAAATAAATAAAGAAATCTTTTTTTAAAAGTAAGGAGTTCAAGAAACCCAACAACAACAAAATAAACAATCCAGGTAAGAATTGGGCAAAGGACATTTAAAGGCAAAAATACAAATGGCTGACAGATACTACTCATCAGGAAAATGTAAATAAAAGCACAATAAGGTGTCACCTCACTCCAATTAGATTGGCTATTATTCAAAAATCAAAATATAACATGCTTGCAAGGTTATGGAGAAAAGGGCAGCACAATGCACTGTTGATGGGAATGATGTTGTTACAATCATTATGGAAAACAGTCTGGAGAGTCC